AGAAATATATGCATGGAGGGAAAACTGAAAATCATACAGTTTTAGAAAGTGAACAATTTACTAGAAAAATATTTCGAACTTTCACTTAATAACATTAGGCGAAGGATATACTGAACCGTCATATAGCCTAACCGATTATGCCACAGAGGATTGTTCGGTTAGCAAGGTCGATTTTACTGTCTTTACACTACCATGCTAACCGAACGATCCTCGGTGGCCCAATCGGTTAAGGCACGTCAGGCTATATGACGGTTCGGTATAGGATACAGGTTCGATTCCTGTCGGTGGATGAATATTTTCTATGAAAGTTTCTCGGACATTCAAGTCGGTAAATGTTGTTAATACTATTTATTATAAACAGACAATTTACTTAAATATTTGTATCTATAAAAAGAATGTATAAACATAAAAATGTCTTAAAATAATTGTCGGATTTTGTCCATTTCATATATATATATATATATATAAATATATATATATACACGCACACACACACACATATATATATATACATATGTATATTTATATAAAATTATAACATATGCATGTTATAACGTCACTACAAAAATTGCAATTTTGTTTCAACACTACTAGTGTCTTATCAAGTAATGGCGTTGATTGCAAAATAAGTGTTCTAAGGAGTTCAAAAACTAACCAAACCCCCCTCAGTAGGGTAAACATTGTTACGTTACCTATAATGACCAATCAGAATATAAGTATTTGGTAATTCATTATACATACATATATATATATATATATATATATATATATATATATATATCAAAGAGCGCAGAGTGAGTTCTGGTTGTCATAAAACTGTGCTCGATGTATAATAATATAATATCAAAGCTAAAATTTATACTACTAATAAATATATATTTTGTTCCTTACAGTTTTGTACAATACTGAGCTTCATGCGCGAGACAATCGTCAGGTTCGGATTGAACACTGAGCGTTCTAAAATTTAGATATTAATTTCATAACCTAATGCTAAGGTAAAGGAGCAGTCCATTTATCTATGGAGAAATATATATATATATATATATATATATATATATATATGAAAAAAATTTGGAAAAAAGGATTTTGTTTGTTTTTTCCAAATTTTTCTTCATTCTGTCGGATCTATATCCATTTACATTTTTACATATATATATATATATATATATATATATATATTTTCTACAAAAATGCAGTACATATGCCGTACAAAAATGCCGTCCTAAAGTATGAGGTCACCTGTTAATCACTATATATATATATATATATATATGAATGGAAATTAATAAGAAATGCTAGAGCTTGTAGGTCTATGTCCTTTGTTCATACATGAAAAATTTTTCTGTTTAAGATTAGTTTTCAGTTTCTTCGAATCTTCTTATTCACTCCCAATCTCAGTAAACACTTGAGTCTTAGTGACATTATTGCCTTGCTTGGAGTGAATTGATTAATACATCTGTATATAAACGCGAAAAACGGATGTCATTGTTTATGAGAAGACAACCCTACCCTACCTTAACCTGATTTTGAAAGTAACTTATATTTGATACATAAGGGACACATCGAGGCGGTGTAATGGTTAGCGCGCTTGGCTCGCTAGAACAATTACGACTGAGTAGTGAGTTCGATCCTCACTGGGTGCCCCCTAATTTCGGCCTTGTGCCACATCGAATCTATGCTTGGAAAATCACTATATTTGATACATAAGTTGTCAAGGGACGTTAAAACCCAAACACCCCTTATCAAAATAATTGAATTTTTCCGTAATCTTCACAATTTAACATATTAAGATTTTTTGTGCTTATAAGGGAAGTAAATTTCTTAATAGGTTATTCCAAAAATCGCCTGAGAATGGAACGGAGCTATGGATTTTAAATTTAATTTTATAATTAAATTTAAAATTTTAGTTCCTCTTTTGAAACATGGTAATTCCTGTGTAGCGATGGAACCATGTTTTAAACTAGAAAATAATATATATATATATATATATATATATATATATAATTATTTATTTAAAAATATGATTCCAAATCGCGACATAAGAAGTCCCATGTTTCAAAACAAAACAAAAACTTCAATATAATTATTTAAATTATTTAAATTATTTAAATTAAATTGAGTAAAATTTCGCTTGAAGATGGAACAGAGCTTATTTTAACTCAATTTAATTTAAAGAATTTAAATAATTTAAATAATTATATTGAAGTTTTCGGCTTTTGTTTTGAAACATGGGACTTCTTATGTCGCGATTTGGAATCATATTTTTTAAATAAATAATTATATTTATGCTCTACTTTTGTATCGAGCACTATTTTTAAAAAAATAATAACTAAAATACTAAGGGACTTTGGATTATTTACTAACCAGTTCCTTCCTATTTTTATATATTTTCACACACACACACACACATATATATATATATATATAATGTATTTGGGCAGGAATCTCTCTTTTATACAATTTTCATTAAAGACGACTAGTAAGGCACTGTCATTAACTT